ATCACATGGCGCTCCAGGAGCGCTTCCGCCAATTCAGGTATGGCAACCCCCTCGTCAGCAGTCAAGTCGCAGGGGGCGCCGGCCGCCGCGAGAACGCGGCTAACCTGCGCTGCCCAGGGCTGCCGGGCCAGTGGCAGCCCTGTGTCCGTGTCGGCAGCCAGCGCAACGCTATCCAGCATGGCAAGACGGGCGACCCGCTCGCCGCCCATAGCCTGCAGGTTGCTCACAAAGCGTGCAACCTGCAAGGTCCAGTAGGCGGGCAGCGGCAGCTGCCCCGTCTCTGCCAGCACAGTGAGGGCTGGGGTGCTGTCCCGCACACCCAGCAGCCCTCGCAGGTACTCCAGCTGTACCCGCTCGCATGCCGTCATGCCCTGCAGAATCAGCTGCGGCGCCCAGATCTCTGCCCCGTACGACAACGTCGGCAGGACGTAAGACTTGAACGCACGCATGCTGAGCAGGGGGTCCTGCAACCCATTTTCGGCCAGGCGGCGACGCAGCAGGTGCATCGCGCGCCGCCCAGCCTCCGCCCGATACGATGCCGCCGAGGCAAAGGCCTGCCGGCAGTGCAGGTGCACGCCGAGGTATCTGAAGGTGGGGACGGTTTCCACCTCATTGCCGCCGTAGCGGAACCGCTCCTCCGTGGTAGCAGCCCTGCCAGTGGTGTACACTACCACCTGGGTCTTTTTGGTGTTAACCGTCAGGCCCCAGGCGGCACAGTAGCTCTCAAGGTAACCAAGCTGGAAACGCAGGCCTGCCGGCGTGGTGGCCAGCAAGGCCTGGTCATCAGCGTAAAATAATGGCGGCACGTACTCCCCGCTCTGCCAGCGAGGCAGAGCCGCGGCCGCAGCCTGTTGCACCAGCCCGGACTCGAAGTCATCCAGGAACAGACCGAACAATATAGGGCTCAAGGGGCAGCCCTGCTTGACCCCTGAGGTGGCCTGAAATGTGGGTGTGTACCCACCAGGCACTCGTACGCACATGGGAACCGCCGCATAGAGGGCCTGCACCGCCCGCACCGCCCAGCCTCCCAAGCCGGCGCTCTCCAGCTTCTGCCACAGCAGATGCCGCGGGACCCTATCAAAGGCCTGCTTGAAGTCCACATAGCAGGCATACAACGGCTGCCCTCGCGCCCGCTGCCGCTCAATGATGGCTCGCAGTGCAAGCTGCTGGTCACGGCAACCGTACCCTGGCCGGAACCCCGCCTGGCCAGATGCCCGAATGCCCGCCGGCTCAGTGTGGGTTGTAAACCTGCTCTGAAGCATGCTGGCAAACAGCTTGGCCGGCAGTGTGCCCACGGCAATGCCGCGGTAGCCGTCACAGCGCAAGTGGTCCGCACCAGGCTTGCGGATCGGTGTCAGCGCACTGATCGCCCACTGGG